TACCTAAATTATATTCTGTTGTTTAACAATTGCTGAGACATGTTTTTATGTTGATAGGTTCTGATTGGCTGTTGAAGTAAGGGAAGCAGGAAGTGATTTTAGTTACGAGGAAAGTTGTGTTCTCCATCGTGCTTTGGTGCAGACGTCTTATTTTCCCTTTTCATAAAACTGCATTTAAAGGATTCCATCTCTCCTTTTGCCGTTCGTAAAGTAGAGCTATCCACTAAAAACAACGAACCCCTCAACTTACACATGTTACAGAAATGTCCGACTAGTTTGAGGATTCGTTTGAATTCCATCTTAAGGTCTACGTCCGCGTGTGCTCTTTGTCCTCACTCGGTTCCAACTCAGCGACGGTGTGAATGTGGGTGTGAATGGTTGTTCGTCTACTTTACTATATGTGCCCTGCGACTGACTGACGACTAGTTCAGGGTGTAGTCCGCCTTCCACCCGAAGTCAGCTGGGTTAGGGCTCCCGCACTCAACCGCGACCCCGTTCAGGATAAGTGTGTTGAAAATAGATGTAATGGATGTAATTCATACTTGTATTGGAAGGAGTTTTACTACAGGTGCTTCTCGTGGGTGCTGATATGATCCTCCTGAAATGTTTAACCTCGAAGGGGTGTCACCACAATGTGAAACGTATCCTCTGGGGACACTTGAACTTCCTACTTCCCTTTATTAAACTTGATCCCCAGCCTAAATCTCCGGTTTAAATTACTAATAAACATGTTTTCTCCGGAAATAATTAAAAGTGAATTAATTCAGTCCAGGCTCAAACTGTGAAAACTTTTATGAACTGCGCAGGCGATGTCTTAAAATTGCATTTAAAAGAGGTTATGATTTGGGAAAACGAAACAAAACAAACAAAAAACAAACGCCGTTATTTTTATTGAAGCAATACTGACAGCTGTGGCCTCTTATAAACTAAACAGAATTGAACCACTGTGTTGTGCAATGATTATGTATAAGTAAAACTGTTACGTAATGGAGAGGGAAAATGAAGGTTTTTGAAGAGCGACACTGGCACCTGGTGGCGTTTCAAAGGGATATTTGGAATTTGAAAGACATCGATTACACTGGTCAACACATTTTTTGCTACATTTTTTTTCTAGATTTTTTTTTTTGGGGTGGGGGTCTGATTCTGAATCTGCCCTCATTTTGCGGACACGTAATATGTAGAAGATATTAAACAGGACTCATTTTTGAAAACGTGTTACATGACATACATTCCAACTAGAATGTAACAGTTTTCACGAGGTGTGCGACTACGGAGGTCAAGAGAGCAAGTGTTGTGCATTACAGTTTATTGAGTAAATTGATCCCCTCCAACTCATGAGTGTATACAATCAACCGGTGACCAAAACTCATGGCACACAATCAACCAAATAGGGTAGATTTACAGAAATACTGATAACATTGTCTCACTTTGCTCATAAATGTTATGTACTCAGTTTGAAATCTGGGCATGTGAAAATCTGAATGCAATTTGGGAATAACCAGATGCCCGAGCCACCTCATATCTATTTATTGCTTAAAAGGTATGTATTCTTTTAAGTTTCAATTGTTTTATTTAATTTTTCAGTTATCGGTATTAAATATGTTTAGTGAAGGATTGTAAATTATAAAATCGAAAACATTAATGAAATGTAAATTTTGCATATAACGTTAAAATTCTCTTGTTCATTTATTGCAAATATGAAATAAGCAGATATTGGCAATATTAAATGTAATAATAATAATAACAAGAAGAAGAAGAAATTCATCCATCTATTCTGTTCTGGTTATCAATGCCCACCATTACAATTAGAAACTCTTAACTTCTTTGTAAGTAAGCACTTTTGCGAATTTAGCGGTGGTTCAAATCATTCATTATTAATTGATTTTGGACGTCCAACTCCAGCACTTTGATCACAAGCACGGTTGAAGGCGAGTGAGTGGCACTATATGCAGTTTTACTAGATGGCCAGTAGATGTCACCCAATATCAATATTTTAACGTAGGAGCCTTGTCTCTAGTTATAAACTGGTACGTAAAGCGCGAGTGGAAGTAAGTCAATTATGTTTCAAGTCTTAAACTTCAAGTTTCAATTGAAGCAAGTCCCAAGGAGGGGCATTTCTCGACTCTCTGGTCACTCCAGGCAAGAAGGAACATGGAAGTCCCCTGAAAAACAAAATCCAGAACCGGATAAGCAGATACATTTTATTTAAAATGGCCAGTAAGTGGTGTAAACAAACTTTTTGCAGTAAACAAGTCTGCTATTAGGGGGCCCCATCTGGGAGAGTCCTAAATCCCGACGGATCATTGCAGTGGCTATGGGAGGTTTTCATTTGTGTCGTTGATAAGGCCCAATATCACCCACTTCACTTATTTTAACACCAGTATCTGCACATCCAATTTAGTACATATTGTGAGTACTTTTGCCACTGCTGTCGAAATTGGGACTATTTTCATAAAGTTTTGATTTGATCACTCATGACTGTTTTGACACGTTGCCAATCGACAGGGGGCGCTACCGTCTGTCCCAGTCCGGCTATCCTTCCTACACACAAAAGGCGATTATGTAACATCTGCTTTGATGCCACTCATTCGTCTTTCGGTGAGTCGTGTCGTGAGTCGTCTTTCCTTTACTTGCGAAAAATCATCCGTAAAGACGCGTCGTGTCCAAATGTGTCAATCATCTTCCTACAATTTATAAACAAGAGGTTAACTGAGTTTACGCTAGGCCACGCCCCCACCGACCAGCTGGTGGCAACACTCTCAGTGACGTCACCCCTTCATGCCGCCATTGGCCAAGAGAACGTCGTGCAGCTGGCCAATCGCCTACCGCTGCGGTGAAGTCGCCGGGCTCCAGCCTCGTTCACTTTGTGCAGAGTGGGCGGGGAGAGTGGCAGAACCCAGAGCCTGCGCCGCGTGTTGATTGGCTTGAGCGGCGGTGAAAGCGGGGTTCTGTTGCTGAGAGAGTAAAAAGATAGGGAAGGGCAGGAAGTTACATCCTCAAACAACATAGCGGTGTTTAGCTCCAACAAATTGTTGATTCAACAGGGAACTGTTTCGATATTGTGTAGAATACCGGTACGTATTACACATTTGATTTCATGCATTATCACCATGTCCTCGTCTGCCGCTGTCAATTATTGTAAATATGTTGTGTCCCACAAAGGGGAGGGAGGGTTTGTGCCTTATTATTGGCCTCGTCTGTATAGTGCCGCCCCTCAGCCCTCCCTCGTGCTGTTCCTATGGTTCCCAGAGCTCTCATTGGTTACTGTAAATTTTGGGACGGGACGCCGGTTTGCCTGAGCATGAAGAAGAAATTCATCCATCTATTCTGTTCTGGTTATCAATGCCCACCATTACAATTAGAAACTCTTAACTTCTTTGTAAGTAAGCACTTTTGCGAATTTAGCGGTGGTTCAAATCATTCATTATTAATTGATTTTGGACGTCCAACTCCAGCACTTTGATCACAAGCACGGTTGAAGGCGAGTGAGTGGCACTATATGCAGTTTTACTAGATGGCCAGTAGATGTCACCCAATATCAATATTTTAACGTAGGAGCCTTGTCTCTAGTTATAAACTGGTACGTAAAGCGCGAGTGGAAGTAAGTCAATTATGTTTCAAGTCTTAAACTTCAAGTTTCAATTGAAGCAAGTCCCAAGGAGGGGCATTTCTCGACTCTCTGGTCACTCCAGGCAAGAAGGAACATGGAAGTCCCCTGAAAAACAAAATCCAGAACCGGATAAGCAGATACATTTTATTTAAAATGGCCAGTAAGTGGTGTAAACAAACTTTTTGCAGTAAACAAGTCTGCTATTAGGGGGCCCCATCTGGGAGAGTCCTAAATCCCGACGGATCATTGCAGTGGCTATGGGAGGTTTTCATTTGTGTCGTTGATAAGGCCCAATATCACCCACTTCACTTATTTTAACACCAGTATCTGCACATCCAATTTAGTACATATTGTGAGTACTTTTGCCACTGCTGTCGAAATTGGGACTATTTTCATAAAGTTTTGATTTGATCACTCATGACTGTTTTGACACGTTGCCAATCGACAGGGGGCGCTACCGTCTGTCCCAGTCCGGCTATCCTTCCTACACACAAAAGGCGATTATGTAACATCTGCTTTGATGCCACTCATTCGTCTTTCGGTGAGTCGTGTCGTGAGTCGTCTTTCCTTTACTTGCGAAAAATCATCCGTAAAGACGCGTCGTGTCCAAATGTGTCAATCATCTTCCTACAATTTATAAACAAGAGGTTAACTGAGTTTACGCTAGGCCACGCCCCCACCGACCAGCTGGTGGCAACACTCTCAGTGACGTCACCCCTTCATGCCGCCATTGGCCAAGAGAACGTCGTGCAGCTGGCCAATCGCCTACCGCTGCGGTGAAGTCGCCGGGCTCCAGCCTCGTTCACTTTGTGCAGAGTGGGCGGGGAGAGTGGCAGAACCCAGAGCCTGCGCCGCGTGTTGATTGGCTTGAGCGGCGGTGAAAGCGGGGTTCTGTTGCTGAGAGAGTAAAAAGATAGGGAAGGGCAGGAAGTTACATCCTCAAACAACATAGCGGTGTTTAGCTCCAACAAATTGTTGATTCAACAGGGAACTGTTTCGATATTGTGTAGAATACCGGTACGTATTACACATTTGATTTCATGCATTATCACCATGTCCTCGTCTGCCGCTGTCAATTATTGTAAATATATTGGTTCTCACAAAGGGGAGGGAGGGTTTGTGCCTTATTATTGGCCTCGTCTGTATAGTGCCGCCCCTCAGCCCTCCCTCGTGCTGTTCCTATGGTTCCCAGAGCTCTCATTGGTTACTGTAAATTTTGGGACGGGACGCCGGTTTGCCTGAGTATCGCCGCCGCTATTGGCTGGCTCCCTCCGTCCGTCAAGTAGACCTTGACAGCTCACCGCGCCCCCTCGTCTCGGAACACCGCCGCCTATTGGCTACTGTACCTGTCAGCGAGTTCCTATTGGCCGCTGCGCCCAGCTGTTAGTGGTTCATTCACCATTTTGTGACTGTAGTGGAAAAGAGACGAGCGATACTTACGAGCGTATCCTCGTCGGAGTTTCAGTGCGGGGACCTTGGTGATGTTTGACGGGAGGGAAAAGCAACTCGTCCCCGGAACTTAAAAGTCCTCCGAGTCGACAGCTGGAGGGATGTTAACGGGTGCCGTGCGGGCTGCCTCATCCACCGAATAAGACCATAAATCTTTTTTCTTTCGTCCACGCTGAAGAGGAAAAAGCTCCGCTCGGGTGAGTTCAAACTAAGTTAAAGGAGGAGAGGCTACGAAGCTCAGCCGATTTAAAGGCTTCCTTTTAGGGGGTGGGGGATAAGATGCCACACTGCCGGGTTGTTGTTCTGGTTCTGCCCGGAGAAACGAACCGCTCAGCGGGCAGGACGAGGGGAGGAGGCGGAGGGCTGTCGTACACACACGCACGCACATACACACACATTGAACAACAAGCTTTAAAACTTTCTGAAAATGTCATACCACAAATAAGTATGACAACCGAAACAAAATAGAACACTACAACGTCTTTATTACAACGTTGTGGTGGATTTTCGCTACTTTTTCCCAAACCTTTTCCGTGTTGGCGTCGAGTCGAAAAACACGTCGACCTCTTTTCGCGGCACTGCAGTCCGAATTAAAACCCACCACGACGGGACGTTTTGTCGACTTCTTTCTTTATAGTTATTTTTAGTTCATTAGCGACGAATGGGAGCCGTAACGTGATGAAATACAGGCTAATTCGCCCGGTTTTAGCGTGGCCGTCGTCGTCGTTGTTGTCGTGTAGTAGTAAGTCGTGCGTACTACGAAGGCTTTACAACCGAGCAGCTTTCCTTTTGCTAGCTGACATTTTTTTGTCAAAGTGCAATTGATTTAATAACAGGAGAGCAAGTGACTTTCTTGTGTTCAAGAGGTAGGAATCCGGCCTGTCCTGTTGCCATCCCCCCAAAACGTCACTTGACTTGATTTTTTTTAATGTTATTTACCAGCTGGCCTTTGAGTCGTAGACATGATAGTAGTACTCCAGCTATTGGCTTTTCCTGCCCTGCATCCCCAACATCACGGCTAACGGTGTAGTGGTAGTATCATCCCAATTACGCAGCTTTTTTTGGGCTTGTTTTTTGAATAGATTCTTGCAGGGACTTTGATGTCCATGACAACAAGTTTGGCCATCCCCAAACAAGGACCTGGGATCAGTAGGAACCAGAATACCCACATCTCCAAGTGCAACCTATGGCCAGTGGGTCTTAAACGCCCGCTAAGAGCATTCAAATGTGGCCTGTCAAGCCCCAAAATGCTCGGAGCACATCAAACCGAACATTCGCCGTGTCACATTTGGTCACGCCATTATGTTTCATCACATCTTGCCTCTTGCTTGTGTGACCCATTTAAAGGCAAAAGCTGTCCCCTACATCCACCATGAGTGAAATTCCAAAAAGGCTGCAAGAAGCGAAAGACGGGCCCTGCCACCCCATTTTTCTTTTTCGAGGCGATTCTTCTCCAAGCACCAGAATAATGACCAAGATTAAACTAGTCGCATACTAGGCCCAAGTGTTCATCAAAAGCGAGGCAGGTTTTATTCCTCAAATGCATATTTCCTAAGGCACTGTAACAGTATGTACTTAAAATGTATAAAGCATAAAAGTTTAATAGAAACTGTGCCTCAATAAATGTTTTAAAAACAGACACATGGAAAAAAATCTAATGCAATTTTTTTGTGCCTACAAGTGAAATACAACTGACCGGTACTTAAAAAAAATGGATAAAAAAAAGACACTGTAACACAATGCATAGTGTGAACTTTTAATTCAATGATTCTTTTCTTTCACCTACAACTAGAGGGAACCCATGGACTACAGTTGAGAATCACTGGTCAAAATGATCAGCAAACCTTTCAGCGGAAATCAATGGAATAATTATAATCTCGTTAAATTTACTTGCAGTGTGAAATCTGGGCCTGTTGACTTGAACATAAAGCTATGATTCAATGTGAACGGCAACAGGTGGCTCCACAGGTTGACTCGACTTTCAGCTGTTTGGTGAAAGGGCTTATAATTTCCTGGGGCAAATAATCGAGGATACCTTGGGGCTCATTTTAGCTGAATTCCCCCCGTATGCTGGAATTTGCCCAAACTGGCCACTTTAAATCAAATCATTTTGTGGGTCGTGCTATGGTAGACGTGTCCGCGCAATTTCTTGTTTGCGGAATGTTGATCGTTAAAAGCGATGGATGGACTGGCCCTCAGCTCCCATCTCCCTTTTTTGAATGGCAAAATAATCAGGAAACATGAATGCCTATGAGCTGCCAATTTTAGATGGCATTGCTTAAAAAAAAATCCTTGCAATTCAGCGTCGCCTTTGAGTCCAGGATACCTGCTTGTTTTGACTGGGGCGCATTTGGGCGAACACACCATGGCAATTGCCCAAAATGTCTGCTTTGACCCAAAATGGCCGACTTTCTGTTCAGTGTTCATGGGTCCTTATGATTTTTATTTTTTTATTTATTATTTTTTGTGCCACTTGCGACGCTAGACATGTTCATGCAATTTCATGTTGATCAGTAAAATTGGTGACTGAAGTCTACGTTTTTGAGTGGCGTTTGGGGGCGGTCATGTTTGGGACCTCGAAAATAAATATTCATAAGACAATCATTTTCCATCGGGGGCCATTTCAGTCATGCGAGGGTCATACTAAATGGATAATAACATCTTGCTTGTCGCAGATTATAAGCATTAGGTTGAACTAAGAGGAAAGAAACATGTAGGGTGGAAAAAATACAATAAGCACTGTGAGTGTAAAATGTTTGCTTGGAAGCAGAAGATGCGTGTCATATTTCAGAATTCCAATCAGCAAAAGAAAAGCGTCAAGAGCCCAAACCCTGACTTAAATCCTATTGAAAATCCGGTGGGCTGACATGTTGGACGGTTCATTGGTAGATACAGTATTCTGAGCATTTGTGGATTTATTTGCTTTTAGAGTTGCATGGCAGGCTCGATTGAATGTGCAAATGGTCCAGGTGCCATTAGTTGCGACCTACGACCTTTTAGATGCAGATTGTGTTTGGGCCTAAAAGTAGGGGTGTTATAAATATTGCACACACACACACACACACACACACACACACACACACACACACACACACACACACACGCACACACACACACGCACACACACCATGTCCTATTGTGTTGATGGAAAAAAAAATCCCCACTAAAATGTACATTTGCAAACTTATTTAGAAATTCTGTCTCATCATGTGTGGAGTGCACCGACACTCTTCTTTTTGATTTGTCTCGGTAAACGCGTGTGTGTGTGTCTGTGTGTGTGTGTGTGTGTGTGTGTGCGCGTGCGCACGTGAGCGAGAGAGAGAGAGAGAGAGAGAGAGACAATGGAGATATTAACAACGTTCATGACTGCACAGTAAATTCCGCTAAGAGAGAGGCAGAGAGAGAAAGCATTTTCATTGGGTGTGTAAAGTTTGACGTGTTGAGAGAATGCCGAGGCAGGATTGTTTATCCCGACGCTGTGTGTCCGGTCGAATGCCATGGAAACGACAAGTCCGCCGTTTGTCTGTCTGATCACCGTAACGTTCCGGCTCTCCGTCGAACACCTTGATCACCCGTTGCTTAGATTTTGTGCAAATGGGAGCAGAAGCATTGGACAAAAATGACATTTATTAAATACACCAAAAAGAACTGGAGGAGAGTTGACCTTAGCGTGTGTTAAAGATGTTTGTGTGTGTGTGTGTGTGTGTGTGTGTGTGTGTGTGTGTGTGTGTGTGTGTGTGTTTCAACACAATCTTTTTACCCTTGAATTAATCTGTTCCAGGGTCAGACTGACACCACCATAACCTTTACAAAGTGTACATGCACTGTTTTCATTTATATTTTAACATTCAAGCCAAAAAGAAGTTCACCAATATAAAACAAAATAAAGTAACAAGGCTCGAGTGGACATTTTTTTTTTATGGGAAAAACAAGACATATTTTACGAAAGTATATACTGGAATAACTTTGATGGCGGTTATTAGGAAAATAAAGTCATGATGTATAGTTGCAATAGTGCAAGACTAAATTTTGCGAGTAAAGTTAAAACGTCACAAGAAAAAAAAAACCTCCTTTTCTTTTTCATCTTTTTCAATATTATGAAAGCGAAGAAATAACGTTATGGGACTCAAGTTGAAATTGGAAAGAAAAACAGGAAAATGTGACGAAAGTCAAACTGTCGCCATCGTAAAACCTTCAAAACGAGACTTGGTCGAGATCTTGTTTGAAAAGCTATAATGTCATCAGAAATAAAAGTCAAATTTTTTGGGAGAAAAAAATAAAATTGGGGGAATAAATATTGCGAAAATCCTGATGAGTCGTTCGAATATTGCAAGAGCAGCTGCATTTTCTCAAGATTAATATGACGCTGAAGTCATAAAAGTTCAGAGAAAAGTTTTAAAATGTGATCTAAAGCTACAAGACTCACTCATACAAGTTGAAAAAGAAGTGAAACACACCAAAGTGTAATCATTTCAGAAAAAAATAATTATGGGACTTTACTCATGGGGTTAGCATTGGTTAGCGCTATTGCAGCTTACCTACACGTACAAATTCAGGTTAAATTGCCACCATAGGAAAGTCACTCTCGTATTTTCGATGCGCACTGAGTTGACTTTGGGGGTTCCACCGCATACAGTTACAGTAACCATATTAATTTCGGCAATTCGATTATATTTCTTCCTCCAGTGGGTTTGGCAACCTTGCTATTCATGCCGGGAATTTCACATCTCTCGCTCGAGTGAACAAGAATGATGCTCTCTGGGTTTTTTGGGGGAGCAGAGATAGGGGTCGGGGGGGAGGCGTCGTGCTTATAACTTGATGGACTGCTACAGCAAAGCTACTAACCAAATACTTTGCAGTGAAAATAAAAAGGGTCAAGATGCCAGGATGGCCCCAAACTGCTCTGTTTTACAACAGAATGAGCACACACACACACACACACACACACACACACACACACACACACACACAAACACACACACACACACACACACAAACGCAGACCAAACACATTTACACATTTGTTTTCTCCCCGAGCGATTTGGTGGAGCGGTCGGTCAGCCGAGAGCTGCTGTCTCCTTGGCGCTTTTCTCTTTGTTTTAAGAATCACATATTTGTCTTATCGGCATCCACAAATGAAGGGAGGATGCCAATGTGAGTGTTTTCACCTTCAGAACACACCGAGTAGCTCAGGCGTAAATACAGAAGATCATTTTAAAAAGCAAGAAACAGGAGGGAGATTTACAAAGCAGATCGGCAGCGTAAATGTCAACATGAGAAAAACAGCACGGCGTCGCATCGTGAAGATGGAGTGACTTGTCGTTGAAAAACAATGGACAGAAAAATGGCTTCAAAGCAAGAGCCCAGACCTAAACCCACACGTGCGTGTGGAGGAGCATTGATGGAGCAAAACATTGAAATATTACAAGGGAGGAAAATAATCTATACTTTTTACAAACGTAAAGCTACAGATTAAATTTTTTTACATGACAGAGCTTCTGACTCAATTCACTTTTCCCGGTTGACATAAACTGAAATGTCATTAATCCGTTCCAGCCCGGGTTAAAAAAAAAAAAAAAGTATTCTGGCGTGTTCGTTTGCCTAATTGCATTCTTCCATCTTTGCCAAAGTCATTTTTGAATGATTTGGGGAAAGCAAGAAAAGGCAGCGAATTCAACAAAATTCAGTGTTGACGGACAATCTACGCAATTTCGAGCAAGCGTTATTTATCCATCTGTATGACCGACACTGTTGCAGTTAAAAATGACGAGGCAGTTTTGCGATTAGGCTCACGATGTAAAGGCCAACCGCTTCTGTAAAATGTTATCACCGTTTGTACTGTCGTATTTGTGTTGGGTGTTTGCCTTTAGGGGGCGTGGCCTAGCGAGAGACATCAGGAACTGGAGTCGGGTTGGCTGGTTAGTTTGCATTTGAGCGCGAGTTGTGGCCCACAGCAGTTCTTGTGAGTGTTCTCATTTTGTCTGGTGACCATACAGCTTGATTGTTCTTTTTCTTAATAGTGTAACCTTGTTTGAGTATCTGCAAAACCTTTTAACCTTTCTCATCACTCTTCAACTTTCTTATTGCGTCACTATGACCCGATTCTCCACACTCGACACCGTTTTTTTGGCCCTTAGACTCTAAAATTATAGTTTTCCCCTCAAGCAGATTTTTTTTTCTCATTCAGTTATTGCGTTATATTTTCTTTAATAGCATTTCAATAAAATTGACCAAAACGAATGCTATTTTAATACAGGTTCATTTTCAATATACACTGTGAATAGCTCACTTATTATGATTTTTTTTTTCTCCAGAAATGATGTCTTTAGAGTATGTTAGGATTTCACTATCGCACCATAGAAATTAGTACAGGATAAAATTGTGATTCCAAAACCTGAAAAAAGGTGCAAATTACAATCTTTGTTTCTGATTAAGCGGTTCAAAGAGACAAGTCATTTTGCTCGTCTTTTATGATAAACAGGATTAGTTCTCGCGATATATCGCGTTTAATGTCGTCGTTGACAACAAGGTCACCTTATGCAAATGTGTGTACGCACTCAGTGTATAGTTTGTCGCGGGTTGTAATTATAAGGAGGCAGTCTACATTTTTGGACACGATTACACTGAAGGACAACACAACACATGCATGTGAGTAGACGCAGTCTGGATTTGCATCCCATGCCACCAAAAAAAAAAGCATTTCCACCTTTGTTACTCGAATTATTCCAGTTTGGCTTGCACAATGTGTTGAGTCGGAAGACGACTGGGGAATGCTCGAAAGTGTGTGTCAGAGAGCGAGAGAGAGAGGCTATGGAAATTCCCAGCGAGTACTCCAGAACGCTCTTTTAACAAACATCCGCACGCTGCCACCTCTACCACCCCCTCACACACTCGTGTTGTTGGGTGACCTCACTCAGGGCCGCCGCCAGCCACTTTCCCTCCCTGATGGAAGGCAAAATAAACGGTTTCTTGCTGCGACGCTGAGTTTCAAAGATGCAGCGAAGAGCCTAGCGTGAGAAAAAAGCCCCTCCGTCACATGTGAAAGTAGCTCGAGGGAGATCCGGCGACCTATAGTATGAGACTTTAGCTTTGTGTGTGTGTGTGTGTGTGTGTGTGTGTGTGTGTGTGTGTGTGTGTGTGTGTGTGAGTCTACTCCATATTACTTGCTACTGTGTACCAAAATTGCTGTCTTCTGTAACCCATTCACTGGCATAGACATTTATATTGAAGTGGAATCCAACAGATCGAACGTAGCGTATATCTATCTATTTGTTAAGTTTATTTTTCAAGAGTGAAGCATGGAAGAGAATTCAAGTTTGTCAACCACCATAATGACTAAGAGATCCCTACAGATGGCAGCGTTGGATCGTTTTGGATTTGAGATCAGGAGAGCTTTTGAGTAGAAAATACAGAGTGGGGGTGAATCTCGGCTCATCATGTCAATTGTGAGGGTGAGAAATGCCACAAATGTAGGCACCTCACACTTCAACAGTCAGTATGTTTTCGCTCAAAGTAGTGGAGCGTGTGTGTCGCAGTCCCGATAAAATTTGCCATCAAAAGGCCTTTCTCAGTCTTGTTTTTGTTGCTTTGTACTTTTGAAAAGTCACAAAAGCAAAACATCTGAGTGACAAAAATCGCCATTCTGCTTTATTCTTTTCACCAAACGCACTTTTTCTCCGCTTGTTGGCCAGAAAATAATTTTTGGTGAAACCAACCCATATTCTCGTGCTGATTACAAAAGAAGAGGGAAAAAAAAGCTTAAACTGCGTAATTTTTTTCAGGTGAAAGAAGAGAGTCTACTTTGTTTTCATAGGTCCGCACTTATGAAAGATCAAAATTATGTGGCTTCACAGTCATAATGGATAATTGAGAGAAACCTGAACTCCAATGTGGGCCCCCGCAAAAGTGATTTTGACACCCCTGGTAAAGGCAGTCATTGGGATACTTAAATAAATGCAGGGGAGCGACCTTGCATATCCTCTTTCTTTCTTTCTTTCTTTCTTTCTTTCTTTCTTTCTTTCTTTCTTTCTTTCTTTCTTTCTTTTTTTTTTCCCCAAAAGGGTGCATATGGCTCAGGGAAGCTTTTATGAGTCAAGTTTATAAATCCTCAACACAAGGCGACACACTGCAACGCAGTAAATGTCAAATGTTCAACCATGCCAATTATTACATTTTGGATTGAAGTTCGAGGAGCATGGTTTGCCTCAAAGTGAAAAGTTCTGAGTTCAAATCTCGGTTATGTGGAGTTGGTGTTGGTTATCTTCATATATACCGTTTTCCTCTGGAAAACATCCCGCGTGTGTGGTTAATCGAAGACTACACTCAATTGCCTATGAGTGAAATTTACTCTGTAAACAACTGGTGACCAATCCAGGGTATTCTTTGCCTGTCGCCCACTGAGAAATTCGACACCTTCCCCAATATCCTGAACAGGATCCGCAGTAGAAAAATGGATGTGTGCATTATGATTGTAAATGACCGCGCGTGTCTCTCTTTCCTTCTAGCTGTGCAATACGGAGAAGACGCCAAGACAGAAGTGCCTTAAAGGAGACGGCGAGAGCGAAAAGGAACGTCGCACAAATCTGTATCGAAGAAGAAATGAGTCCGTTCAAGAGACAGCGGGGCCGATCACCTTCGTCATTCCGAGGCCGAGGGGGGCGAAGGAGAGCGGGCGCCAAGCCTCCTCAAGAGAGAGACCCCAAAAGAATTAAGAGGGAGGCCCTCGGCAAAACCCCACAGAGCACAACCAGCACTTTCTCCAAGCAGGGCCCGCCCGCGGCAGGCGACCTTCATAAGGAGGCGACCGCAGACAGCGATAGCCTCATGAAGGGCGAGCCGACCGGGCCGAGGAAACCGGCTGAGTCAGGCGATAAGGACGCGGCAAAGACAGCAAAAGATGTGACGGCGTGCCAAAGTGCGTCCGCCGACTCTGTAGCATCCCCTACCTCTCCTGCCGCGTCGAAAAGCGCGGCCACGCCGCCCCTCGCCGCCAACCACAACCCCGGCCCGGCTTCTGTGTCGAGCAGAAAAACGGCCACGTTCAAGGCTCGCGTTCCCAAGAAGAAATACACTTATGAGCACTTTGCCAACAACGCCACTCCTCCCACCACCCTTCCTACCTCCAGCCCTGCAGCCACAGGCAGCACTTCATGCAATAGCAACAGCAAAATCGGCGACAGTGTGAATCTGACGATCAATCACCTGAAGAACTGCAACAATATTAGTCATACGAAAACAGATGCCAGTGTAAACGCGACAAAAAATATCACTAGCGTGCCCAATAGCAGTTTAAATTGCAGAAGCAATGCCCGCTCAGGTAATCAGTCATCGGTTCAACAAGTGATCAGTAAGCCCACCGAAGATAGTGGGGCTCTCAGGAGAGTAGCCCCCCGAGAAAAAGAGTCCCAGGTGGGGGAGAACGAATCGGAGGGGGCCCCCAACTCAATACGCTCTTCCTCCACCGACACAGCCAGTGAGCACTCCGCTGATCTCGACGTGACGGAGGCAAACGGACCACGCAACCGAAAGACCCCGGCCCCCTTTCTGAACTCGCTGCCCAAGGGGGTCAGTGATACTGGCGGGCTTGCTGAAGCACTTGCCAAAGGTTTGAAAAACCAGAGAGTCTTGGCTCGCCAGATGAGAAGCTCCACAGAGAGCGGTGTCGGCACCGCAGGCCAGCGTGGGTTCAGGGAGAGAGACTCGTGCCCCATGTCCCCGGTGTTCAGACCTGGTGTGGTGAGGGAGGTAAGTGGGGGTACAGTCGAAGTCCAGCTGCAAGGAAAGGACGCGATTGTTAAATATCCTTTTGACGGCGGAACCATGATGACAGTATCAGCATCCGGGAGCGTTGTAGAATTAATTTTGGATGCACCCCCACCAGGCATGTCGCCTGTTGCGGTTAGTACCAAAGTGTGTGTGCCATTTGGCGGAGAGGAGGGGGGTCCTTTGCTGTACAGAGAGGGGGTCATATCTCAGGTGGACCCTCACCCGGGTGTCTCGTTCCCCTACCAGGTGGTTCTGAGTGAAGACGGAGAGACCTCGGTTGGTGGCACTGGCCGTCAGGAGGGAGATCCAAGTAAAGCCCAGACTGTGTGGGTTTCCCGGCAGAGTCTGAGACTTCTCACCCCTCCCTGGGATGTCCCGCACATGGAAGGTGGCGGAGTGCGGGACAGAGAGCGCGACAGGGAAAGAGAAGAAAGGGAGTGGAGGGAGGAGATGGAGGTGGAGAGAGAGGTTTGCCAGTTGAGTAGTGGAATGGGTGTACTGGGAGGGGGAGCGAGGCTGAGCCACGGCTTGTCTCATCAAAGGGTTGCCGTGGGGCATCCCTATGGAAACGTACATCCGCCTCCGCATCCCTCGACCGTTCCTCCGAGTCGGGGGTCCACCGCCGTCTACTCAGACAGAGAAAGACCCAAACAAGTCAACATCCCAGAGGAAGACGTTGAGGTATCTCGTCTTAACATGTCCGCTGCGCCCAAGACGAATTCCACCACGTCACAGCACGGAAATATCATTTCCAAATCCGGTAGCTTACACCCATCCTCACCCCACCTCTCGGTGGTGAGGGCTTTGGGCCCCCCTCATTTCTCCACCCTGGCCAGCCCCCAGCCTCCTCCTTCACCTGCCTTACTCAGTTCCGAAATGAACAACACCGCGCCAAATCTACCTCCAACCAAGATCAATCCCAGTCAGACCACTACACCCTCGTCCGCCGGGGGCAATTCCTCTACCTCTTCTCGCTCCAGGACGCCGCTCTCCTTGGCTCAGAAGTACAAGAAGGGGGACGTCGTGTGCACCCAGAACGGCATCCGTAAAAAGTTCAACGGCAAGCAATGGAGAAGGCTGTGCTCCAGGGAGGGCTGCATGAAGGAGTCCCAGCGTCGCGGCTATTGCTCCAGACACCTGTCGATGAGGACCAAGGAGATTGAGGCCGCCGGAGGAGCCGAGCGAGCCGGAGGGGGCAGCAGCTCAGGGACCGTGACGCCGTCTGACCTGCGGGGCAGAGCCAGCAGTGAGTTTGAATGGGATGACACGTCAAGGGAGAGCAGCGAGACGAGTAGCAGGGGAGACTCCAGACCCCGCTTGCTCCTCCCCTCCGTCCTCCCCCACGACCTGTCGGCACGCTTCGACTTTGACGAGTGCGAGGCGGCCACCATGCTGGTGTCGCTGGGAAGCTCCCGCTCCGGCACCCCGTCCTTTTCGCCCATCTCCAACCAATCCCCCTTCTCCCCCGCCCCCTCCCCTTCACCCTCCCCGCTGTTTGGCTTCAGGCCAGCGAACTTTTCCCCGATCACCGCCTCCCCGGTTCTTCAACACCGTCGGCACAGGCAGCCGAGCGGCACGGGGGGAGGAGGGGGAGGGGGCGGCAAGGCGCCCACCCCGGCAGGGGGGGGAGAACGAGAGAGACACACTTCAGGCATCCAGCCGACGTTCCACAGCAACCTGACGTTTACGGTGCCGATGAGCCCCAGTAAACGAAAGCCAGACGCACCCCCTGCGCCGCCCCCGCCCCTGCACCACCACAATTACACGCCCAAGACAGAGCTGGAGCAGAGCGACCTCAACAACTCTTTCAGAGTGCTGTCCCCGCAGACACCGGCGGCACATTCCCACACACCCACCTTTTCCAGGCCGAGGGGCGCCACCCCGCCCTCCTCCGGCAGGCCGCCGTCCTCCACAGCCGCCTCGCCTCCGCCTCTGCTCGTGTCCCCGGCACCTCCGTCCCCTCTGACCCCCGACGGAGGGCCTCGTCGCGTAGTCCCTGTGTCCCAGCAGAACTTGCGGGACTCCCCTGTCATTGTGAGGAATCCCGACGTCCCGCTGACAAAATTCATAGAGTGTCCCTTAGGAAAAAGAGGTGAAAAAGACGGAGGGGTCGAACCTCCTTTATCTAAAGACAACAACATCACCACCTTCGCGCCCCAACCAATTTCCGGCCTCCAGGTTCCCGTACCCATCAACGCCGCTGCAGCCCCAGTTCCCAATGGTACCGTCCTTTTGCGAAGTCCAGCCCAAACTTTGCTGCTAGTGTCCCCTTCGCCGTCCTCTCTGCCCACATCGGACATCCCTACCGCCGCCCCGCTGCAAGCCCTCTCCGTCACCGTCAGCACAACGGTCGCCGGCCCTGTTCCGTGCGGCACAGACGGCTCTGGGGAACGAGGGGAGGCCCGGGGCTTTGAGGGAGAGGTGCAGCAGCCCGTCCCCTGCCACCCTTCCCCGACGGCACTCCTGCCCCTGATCCTGCCCGTGGAGAGCCATCACCCCGCGCCACGAAAGGACATCATCATGGGACGGCCCGGCACAGGTGAGAACGCTTGCATTTGTTTTGGTTCACGTGAGGTGAGGGACATTGGAGAAGGATTTTGCAGCAGTGCAGTTGCAATGCACACATTGTCTGAAATGGATCAGGAATGAATTCAAAAATAATGATGCAAAATGGATGTTCTGGAAAAGAAAAAAGCTACAAAAGGTTTGTTGCAAATGCTCCCCTGTCTTTTATGACTCAGTAATTTTGTTAAACACAAAGTAATTACAAAGAAACATGATGAACAATTCGCAAAACTCTTTTGGCACAAGACAAATCTATGTCACGTGAAAATATTCCTGTTTTTAGGGAACTCGTATTTTGACGATCAGCCATTTTGTAAGACTGTTTGGCACGTTACTTATTAGGTTCTTTCCGAGCAGTTTCCTTTTTTGTTGTTTAGGATTCAGTGGCATGAATTGTGTTCACCAAAATGGTCGGAAGCTGGCACAAAAAAAAAATACAAATACAGAGAGGGAAAATGCAAAAAAAAAACCCAAAGGGTTTGTGTGGGAATTTTCACTCAGAATAGTATCCATCCAGCCATCCATTTTCCGATCCGCTTTATCCTCACAAGGGTCGCGGGGCATGCCGGAGCCTATCCCAGCTGTCTTCGGGCAGTAAGCAGCCAATCGCAGTGCACACATAGACAAACCACCACTCAGAATAGTAATTTATTTGAGTCATTGATTTATTATTTGGACTTTATTCAACTAGAAATGAAAAATATTACTATTCGCTCACATCAAGATATCAAAACATTTGGCCAAAACAATGTTTGTTGCAACAATCACTGCGATGTATTTTTCTAAAATACCAGGCAATTATAAACATACCACTATCTCCAATCACACAAATACATCATTGAGAGAAACATTCATTTCCCGTTCGGCGTGATTGCAGTGTCACATTACTTCCACCCATCTCCGACAGTATAGAAGCACGAAGGTGGCACAACCCGCGTGTGGCGGCGGTGACGCCCAAGCGAAAGAATGTCCACTTAGCCGACACGTTGTCATTCCATATGCTCGTCCCTTCTTGTGAGTCACGCTGGTCAAGCACCTGCGATTCGTCAACACAGATCTAATATTGCACAGCTCATGTCCCAATATTCAGCGCGCTCGCTAAAACAGCACTAATTAAAGACAGTGCTTTTCGTCCCCCCACACCCCCCCTCCCCACACACACACACACACACACACACACACACACACTTTAAAGCTGGAGGTGTCAAAGTCATTTTCATCGTAAGCCCCATTGTAATTATGGTTTCCATTAGAGGAAAATCATGGAAATGTATTTTCACCTCATCGACGTCAACATAAGTGCTTTTCATTGTTATTCCGTATCTTTGTGATGAGAAAGAAAACTTGAAATCACAAGTCAAGGGAATTATTGAAAACCAGATACAAACACTCTTGTTCGGTTTATTCTAAGGAAGGGATTTGGTGAAATAAAAAAACAAAAACTTGTATTATCTGGAAAAGAAAAAAAAAATCACATTTAGAACCGATTTTCAGTGCTTTTGAGTTTGACATGTGCCTGAAAGCTTCAATAGTGATTTAGTAAAATAGTCTCGATGTATTTGGAAGTGAAAGAGGGGAAAGAGAATAGACGTTGTTGTGTTTGTGAGGACGTGACGTGTTCCCCAGATTCGCTTTCACAACATGACATGATTTGAAGTCATTATAGGCAGACGCAGACGCAGAAAGATGGCCATGAGCAGGGAGAAAAACAAAAAGTTCAACATTGCGAGCGCTGGAGTAGAAAGGAAACATTTGATGACAACAGCACGAGTGGCTACGCAAGGTGCTGTATGTCGGCCGGTTAAGGAGCAGCGTTTGGTGCCGATTTGCCGTTCTGACGGCTGACACAGACAAAAATGGTCTTTTGATTGGTGAGAGAGGAACAAAAACGGGAGAGAACGATAGAGGGAAGGTGATAGCTCGGAGGACTAAAAACGACGCACGTGTCAATATTTTGCGTGAACGCGAGCGACGGGGTTTATTTAGCTCGCAGGTCCTCTGACATCGGCAACGTGTGCGTTTGTTTTGTTTGTGACTCAGGCCAAGACGTAGTGAAAGAAGGAGTGGGCAGGTCGAGTACATACCAAGGCAGCTTGATATCGAAATACGTCTTTATTCTGCGCGTCTTCGACTGAACTATTTTCAATGTCTGTCTGCCTACATTTTCATGAGACATCGTTGGTTTTCTCCAGCATCACTTTCAGCTTTACCGATGCCTTGACCTGATGCCTGGCATTTATGAGAGCACAAATTCTCCTGAGAAGTCCTCCATTTTCTCTGGGAGATTCCAAGCTTTCGTCAGCGGGACTTTGTCAGCGTAAAACGTCGGCTTCGCAGACGGGGTGTCATCGTCATGACATCCATCGTTGCATGTGGTGTTATCAATCCTCGTAACAATGATTACTGCTACTTCACGAGGGGGGGGGGGGGGGGGGGGGATGGGCATACCTTTGAGGTGTGGTGTGTGTTTTCTCATGCGTACGATGCCGATTAATCGAGGCGAGGTATCAATTCGACACTTGCAATTTTTCTGTTTCCTCCTAATTACCGCGCATTCATTTCTGGATAAAATCTCACAAAATTCTCATGGGATGTGACCTTGTGAGGACAAAAATGAGGTGTGTCTTTTGAAGTGTGGCATTTATTCTTTGATGAATTGAGTCTATTATAGCCGAACTCATTATTTAATGAAGCCCCTCACTCTGTCTGTTTTCGACGAACTGCAGCGCATCACTTTTAGCGCAAGAGACATTTTTTTGGGGGGGGAGGGTAGCACAGGGGGCAGCATTTTATGATTCATACACCAGGACTTCTGTTGTGCCATGTCTGTTTTGTGTGTGTTGTGGTGATGACGTCGGACCATTACATGGTGTCAATCCTCCTGGCACCTGGAAAAAAAAAAGTAAAAAAGGAGGACTTTCTTTGAGGTGCTGTGTGTGTTTCCATCACAAGATAAGATGTTGATTAATGAGGGCATGGCATGTGGTTGAGTGGAGGTCATCATTTGAGAAAATATGACAGCAAGAATAGTTTCGTAATCGTAATTTTTCGACTAATTACTTTTCATACCAAATCAGATCGTGAGAGGGCACAAAGACCACTTTTCTTTCAGATGCGGTGTTCATTTTTCCCAGGTGAACAATGCAGATTAATTGGGGCATGGCATATATTTGAAATGGGGGCACACAATTTGAGGAAATACCGCATACCGTCTTGTTTTCTTCTACTTTCATGTGTGACTAGTAAAGACATTTTACTAAATATGATGCCCATATGTCGATAGTATCCCGCCTGGACCATTCACTTCAAGCGGGCCCTTCGGGCATCCTGCGTGAACGCACGTCTGGCTGTATAGAGTCGCGCGTCTGTGACAGAAAAATGGACGGGAAGGGGAGCGCTGTCATTTTGAGTGTATGCTCGCGCCTCACAGCCACTTTGCTGCGGCTGAAAGGACGCCGAATGCATGAATAGCGTCCCTTTGTGCCGGATCATGCATGCTTGCCCGTGTGCATATGCGTTTATTTTGGCGGGCTTTGAGCAGGCGTCACATATGTGGGTGGTTTTTTTTTTTTTCCAGTATAGACTTAGAAACTCAACATGAAGCCTCTGCGTACGTATGGAAGGAGAAGAAGCAGTGCTGGTGAGAGTGTGTGGCGTGTAGGTGTGCGTCATATACAGTACAATCAATGTGCCAATCTACTAACGCTAACTAGCGGGCGTCCTCAATTAGAGCTTAACGGGAACATAGCGTGCATTATAACTCAGTCCCAATATTTTGTCGTTACCATCAAATCAAATAACATCTTCAACAATTTTATAGTAGGCCTAAAATTTTTATTGTCTAATTTCTGCGCACACACACACACACACACACACACACACACACACACACACACACACACACAGTTGCTTTTAGCAAGAACTGAAAATAAAGTGAACAAAATGGCTGAAATGGAAAATACGACCAACCAAAAACCAAAAAAAAAAGACAAAATATTTTGAATGCATTAAAAAACATCTGAACTACTATATTACTGAACTTTAACCTTTTCTGCATTTCATTGTGTTCTTGTTTCAAAACACGACATGATCTGTTTTTACTGGCACTTGCATCCTTGGACTCTTCCTCCCTTTTGGTTTGCTTGCCTCGCACACACCCACTCGCTGCACTCGCAAAGCTTCTCCCAACAAAGGATTTTTAGAGATTCGTGTCATGTTGGAGTAGATACAGTGCATGTGATTTGTCAGCGCGCTACTCTAAATCCTGGTTAAATTGCAGGCATTTGTCAAAATAATCTAACACCAGGTCCGCGTAAAAACGCCTCTCGATCCGACCTTGCAACATAATCCAACACGTTGCACTTTATGTATCCAAATGCTGCGCCAAAATAACTCCTTTACTACTCAGAACCTTTTTTTTTTTTTTTTTTAATGTGTGTCGACTAAGCCGTTGTAGCGCCGCATAATTTTTGCAGCATCTGTCATATGTGTATGTGCTGGCCCATAAAAGTAAATGTCTTCGTCCAACTTGATGTAAAAAAAAATTTGTAGCCAGGTGAGGGATGAGACCCTATTTTATGGTGTGTGTGTGTGTGTGTGTGTGTGTGTGTGTGTGTGTGTGTGTGTGTGTGTGTGTGTGTGTGTGTGTGAGTAACCGGGCGTCAATCACGGAGTGCCGGCTTCAATGTGCATGTGAGCGCCTAAACGTCTGTTGCCATGGCAACAAAGCAAACAATTCAGCGGGAGCTAATGAAATACTGACAAGACATGGAGACAGTAAATACAATTACCCATATTTGTGGGTAATCAGATGACACGGGCTCACACGTGCGTGTGTGTAACACACATGAGAACACGTTAAACGGGTGCGATTCTCTACCGAAGGCCCGTGGATGATATTTTTTTCTTAAATATGATCCGGCCCCTGATGTGAGAGATTCCCCACTGCTGGTGTAAATCTTTTTTTTTTCCTCC